GAGCGAAAATGCCTCGCCTCTCGCCTGAGGCGAGGGCCCGGGTGCGCCTCGAAAACACTGCTTTCAAGAGGGCTATCTCTCTCCCAAGAACCCTCTCAAGTCACCTTAAACTATTTATACCCTCCTTCCCCCCTACTACCTCTATTTATATCCATCTTACCCCTAGCTAATTACCATACTGCCGCTTCACTAACATACTAACAATATTCCCCATGTACCTCTATTAGGACTCAAACATGTTGTTGAGTCGTTGGTAAATTGCTTCAGCATCTACTGCAAAACCTAGGTCTGGAAATGTTTGAACGGTGACAAGCTTTAGACCTCCGTTCATTTTATTGGTTCTTTTGGGCTTCAACCATATCTAGATTTAGGAATTATCCTCTTTTTGTTTCTTTATGATTGAGTGGGTTTATTTCTAAGGGGTGTTCTTTTTATATGGTTGTTTTTCATTTGACAGATTTACCAGGCCTTCTCAGGTTGGGTTTTCGTTCTTCTTATGAAAGTTTTATTTTAAACACCAACAAAAGCTAAAGAAAAGCATGCTTATGGTTATGGTGAATAATGTGTGAGAGAGTCTGCGTGAAGTTAAAAAATCAGTAGTCCTTAATTAAAAGGTTGGAATAGATGGCTTGTGGCTGAAGAACTCAATGGTAAAGAGAAACATATTTTTCTTTTCCTTCCAATTTTGTTGGAGTGCAGGGTGTTTGTTTTGTAGCTGAAAAGTTGTGGGGAGTGGATTGTGCATGATGTTGGAATTGGAAAAGAGAATTGACATTAATTTGGGTTTTGTGGGTTGGTTTGGATCGGGTTTTGGCCTAAATGACATTGAGCAACGTGTTGGTTTAAGAAAGATAAAAAACCAATGTTTAAACTAACTTTTTGAAAACCGAACCAACCACTTGACAAAAATCATTAGCACGTCATTGTATAGTTTACAACTTTCATGGACATCTTTTAGGTTGAAGCATGCAAACTTGATCAACATGACGAGGTGGATGGTTTGTGCTTGTTAATAATGCAAAGTGGTAACATCTCAGCTAGTTGGGGAGGGTCTTTTAAGTCAAGATAGACTATCCTTTGGTGTAATGGATGAGGTTGATGGCTTCTCTAAGTCACCATTGGAGCCCTCATCTTGTTGCCTT